ACCCCGAGTCTTCTATTTTTTTTTTTCCAAATAATTATTTTTGATTTTTACTCTTTTGGTGTTTTAAAATTTTTTTATTATTTATTATCTCTTTATTTATTTTTTTAAATTCCATTTTAGGTTTATAGAAGAGCCCAGCAGATAGTTCTTAGAGTTTCTCATATTCACCCCCCATCCCCCACCCTCCTACATAGTTCCCTTATTATTAATATCTTACAATTGTGTGGTCCATTCATTAGAATTAATGAATTAATATTGATGCATTTTTTTAAAATTTAAATTCAATTAATTAACATGTATTGTTGGTTTCAGAAGTAGAGGTCAGTGATTCATCAGTCTTACATAATACCCCATGCTCATTACAGGGACTCTGATCTTTTTTTTATATGTGCTTGGGAAGTGGTTAGTTTAAAGGTGGCATAAAGTAAAAATTCAATAAATGTTTCCTGGTTAGTCTTCTTATTGTTGTTACACGTCAGTCAGCTAAGTGCTGTGTTATGAGAGGAAGAGGAGAGCAAATGGCTAAAACTCAGTTTGAGAAAATTCAGTTCATTGATTGGGCAATTTACATAAAGTCAACAAGACCCAAAATGCTCAAAGCCAATTTGCTGAATCATCAGTTTGCCAAATTCACCAAGTTTATGGACTGCGGCTTTAGTACTTAAATAAGGAACTTATTATTTTTTTTATAAGATTTTATTTATTTATTTGAGAGAGAGAGATCACAAGCAGGGGCAAGGGTAGAGGGAGAAGCAGACTCCCCTCTGAGCAGGGGACCTGACACGGAACTGCATCCCAGGACTCCTCCGGGGATCATGACCTGAACTGAAGGCAGGCGTTTAACCCACTGAGCCACCCTGGCATCTTGCAAATGTTTATTTTTTATTCCACAAATCCAGGTGTTGATTTCCAGGGCTGGTTAGCCTTTGCAGGTACTTCACACCTGTAAATAATTTTACTCTTTCTTATGAATACTGCTGCACGTTGTATACAATTTGCAGAGATCAAGTTCTCGTGAGCAGCCAATATTTCAGTATGGGGAAGGGGATAGAAGGAAGTGAAAATACCTAATAATCTCACTTTGAGCACATACATTGAGAAAGAAAAAGAAAAGAGTATCACCTAAGGGCAAATGTAATGTCTTTGTAAAAATGAAAACAAACAAACAAACAAAAAACAAAGAAAAAATGACCCAGCCTTGGATATAATGAATACATTGTTGCTGATATCTGCAAAGAAGACTGTGGCACAGGGTAGGGGTTCAGAAATCTGTATGGAGTAAATGAATGAATGAAATACTCTGTTTCACATATCTGTGTAGAGGGAAAATCTTGCATCGTTGGTGTAAGCAAACTGAGGACTCACCATATTTTGGGGACATTTAAGTTTAACTTTTTAAAAAAAGATTGATTTTAGAGAGAGAGAGAACACAGGGGAAGGGGCAGAGGGAGAGGGGATTTCCAAGAGACACCTTGCTGAGCAGAGAGCCAGATGTGGGGCTCCATCTCAAGACCCATGAGATCATGACTTAAGCCAAAATCAAGAGTTGGATGCTCAACAGACTAAGACACCCAGGAGCCCTTGCCCTTGGTTATTTTCTTTTAAAGTTGCCTGAAACTTACTTTTGTAGCTCAGGAGGCAGATCTATAGGCCAGGAAGGCAGAGAGTATCACAGTGGCTGGAAGTGACTTGGCTTGGTTGGAGCTAAGAGTTTGCAGGAGGCCACGGAGTCTTTAAGACCAGGCTGAAAGAAGTAGTGGCCAGGTCATGAAACTCCCTGTTAGGCAATCTGGTAAGTTCTAACGTTGCCTTGCCAGTGATAATTGTGAGTTAAGTACTAAAAGTTCACCTGAATGCTGGTTTTCTGAGCACAAAGACTGGATATGTGCAAGTTCACAGCCATATCATGGGCCTCCATGCAGAGCACCTGCTGTGTGTTGGGCTCTTACCGTTTTGCGATATTTTTAAAAAGTTCAAAGGACTCAGTGGCTATCCCTTGAGGCCAAGCTTATTATAAAGAATTGGAAGCAAGAGAGTTTTTAGCAAAAAGAAAAAAAAAGGTTGGCCAATAATGTTTGATGACTTCAGGAGGAGGATTAACCATAAGATTGGGCAATGTAAGGGTTGACTTGTTGAACTTTGCCAGTGACGTTCAAAAATGGAGTGGGAGCAGAGGCCAGATGGACTGGAGGTGAGAAAGAATGTAAGGCGAGTAATACAAGGAAGTGAGGTATCTGGTAAAAATGCTTTTGGGGTGGGGCACCTGGGTGGCTAAGTTGGTTAAACGGCTGCCTTCAGCTCGGGTCATGATCCTGGGGTCCTGGGATTGAGCCCCATATCAGGCTCCGGGCTAGACCGAGAGCCTGCTTCTCCCTTTCACTCTGCCTGCTGATCTGCCTACTTGTGCTCTCTCTCTATCTCTCTGTCAAACAAATAACTAAAATCTTAAAAAAAAAAAAAAATGCTTTTGGGAAGCAGCTTTAGGGAGGGGACACCTGTGAACGCAAGGTTCTGAGAGAAAATATAAAACAAAAAACAGTTTGGAACTGAACTTTGAATTACTGGGAAGAAAAAAAAGTCCAGAAAAATCAGTTTAGGTACAACCTTATTTTGGTTTGCTCTGTTCTCATAGTCTCCAGACTCCTCCAACCCTTCCTGCTCCCCACATAGTACCCTCAACCACCTCAGAGCACCTGCTTACTACCCCAACAGACTGGGGGAGCTATCAAAGCCAGCAGAGGACCCATCTACAGCCATAGCTCGCTGACATGACCTCCCATGATTTCATCTGCCCTTCAAGTCTGTTGGTCCTCATGCTTTCTTTGCTTTGGTTGGTGAGGCATGATCTGCTTTGGGATCAAGTCAGAAACATGGAGCTCCAGTTCCACCTCAGCCATTAACACACCCAATTAATGCTTTTTTTTTTTTTTAACTAAACTCTGAGCAGAACTGCTGATTGTGAGGCTTGAACTCATGACCCTAAGATCAAGAGTGTCACATTCTATGGACTTAATTTGCCCAATTAAAACCCTTACTATTATCTACTTTATGGTTCTCTAGGCATTTCCCTATTTTTAGAGTTTGACCTCTCTGTGCTTCAGGTTCCTCATATGTATATCGGGTATAAGTAATCTCTATAAACAGTGGGCTCTACAATTTAAGTTAATGTATGAAAAATCTGTTCTTTGGGCCTGCCGTGTAAATTTGTAGCAGATTGGTTAAATAGACAGGGGTCCATGGGGGCCCCTCTGAATTTTGACAAAAGAATCTGAAACAGCTGTCAAACAGACCTTGCGTTGCCCACACCTAGAGCATAGAAAACTTTCTCCCACACATTTGGGAAAGTTGTACAGTTGTACAGAAAATGCCAATGGTCTGCAGTTTCCTCATCTGTAAAATGGAGGTTTCTGTTATCTCAAAGGACTGTCTTGGGGATTAAGAGGAATTAGCAAATGATCTAACGCCCGTAATCCTTATTCGGCATTGATCTCTGGTGTCTCCTGTCTCCAGTCGCACCTGCGTCAGGGTTAGATCAAGCACCGTGGATCATCTGTGAACCATACGACGCTCTGTCCTCACGTAGCCGGCACTCTGTCACATAATCGGGTGATAGTGACAACCAGGAGGTCAGAGGTCAGACTGCCCCTGACTGTCAGAGGCTCACCCTGGGGTCTAAACTTCTCTTTGCCCCCAGTGTCCTCAGGTCTAAGCCGGCGGGTGGGGGGGGGGGGGGGGGAGACCTATTTTGTCAGGGTATTATGAGGATTAAATAAAATTAGTTTCAGTTGGTGCTTTAAAGAATGGAAATCAGGTTTTGAAAAGGCGGATTTGGGGATGTGATCAAGAGGCGTGTCCGGGGAGGGGCTGTGTTGTAAGGTGGGTCTAGGGTGGGCACGTCAGGGGTTTATTAGCACAGCTCTGCTGCTCTTGTCACTTTATCATTCGGAAAGGCTCCAGAGTAGAGGCTGGATGAGGCTCCCAGTGGTGAGTTTCTCTGAGGGGAGGCAGCCTCCTTGATGTTCTAGTGTGTTGTAGGGCTTTGAGCTTTCCTTTTTTCATAGTGCAGGCCTAGAGGCTGGGGACAGCTCCTGTCACTGATGTGACTGTGGTGCTCTGCGCTGGATTCGGGCGTGGGACATTCTGAGATGCTTGGGTATTTAAAGATGAAACTTTGGTCACATAAAAGGGATTTCTTGTCAATTATATCTCAACAAAACTTGGGGGGGGAGATTTAGGAAAAGGAGACCCAACCTTAATAAATAACAGACAATAAGGAACTGGTCTTGGAGAAAGATTTCTTATATTTTAGGTGTACAGAAGTATTTCAGGGTGGAACAGTATGTTTAGGCTTCACTTCGGAATAAGGAGGGGCTGTTGAGATGAGTGGAAAGGGTAGTTTCATGAAATGAGATAGGCCGTGTTGCTGGATCGCAGAGTTGAGTGACGGGATCGCCAGGTTCATCAGACTCTTCTCTCTCAATTTTCATGTATGGTGAAAAGTTAATGGGATAAAGAGTTAAAAAAATGGCCCAAGCCCAAAGAGCTATCCTGGAAGAAATGAAGTGGCACTGGGATTTTAGTTTTTCCTACTTCACAAAGAAAGCATTTGATATTCTGTGAAGTTCAGAAATCATTGGGAAGTTTGCAAGCTTGGGATGTAGGAGAGACTTGATTGACCCTCCTTTTCTTTGAGAAAGTAGCCTCAGAAAATATGGGGATCTTGACTTTGATTTCTTTTTCTAGATGAACACTTACAGGAGGCGAGAAGGCTCTGTGTTCTGTTCAGCTGCACCTTGTGTCTTTTGCGTGGTACTCTAGTGAGTGACGTATGACTTATCTGTCAGAGGCCACTCAGATACCCATTGGTGGACCCAGGAGTCCACGGGTCCCATCATCATCTCTGTCTCAGAGGCAAAACTGCATCAGAGTGATCCTGAAGCAGTGGTGGCCCAGCCGCAATGCCAGTAGGATGTGGAGCCTTCCATGAAACTGCTGTAGAAATGGCCCTCAGCCCAGCGTCAGGAGAGCAGCCAAAGATGCAGAGTGTGGACTGGGAGGACGGTAGCCTTCAGCCCTGCCCCATGGGCCATCAGCCTCAGAGCACAGGTAAGTGGACTCCAGAGCCCTGCTTCTAAGGGTCTGTGATGATACAAAAAAAGTCTGCTTGCTTGCTACTTTTACTGAGTTTTTATTTTTTGCTTATTTTTTTAAAAGATTTTATTTATTTATGTGAGAGAGAGCAGAGACTATGAGAGGGGAGAGGGTCAGAGGGAGAAGCAGGCTTCGGACTCTGGGATCATGACCTGAGCCGAAGGCAGTCACTTAACCAACTGAGCCACCCAGGTGCTCCCTGAGTTTTTATTTTTAATGAATGTGCCCATTTGCCTTTCAGAGACACTAGGAAGTCTTTATATAGATTGGTGGTGAGCGGCAGGGGGTAGGGAATGTGGTCAAACCTCAAACCAGATCTACCCCTACCCACTGCCCCCAGTCTTGGCCATCTCCAGATGGTCTCCCTAACCAAAGGCCCTGAGTACCATTTTGCCGTGAACAGAGTGCTCTCTTGGTCCGTTGTTAGTGTCGTGTGTTCCTAAACCCTGCAGAACTTGGAGCCTCACACCAGAGGCTCAGGCGGAAGATAATGGATGTGAGAGTGATCCGGCTGTGACATCTTCTCACCCCACTGTTCACCAGGCTTGATTCTTGGCTGATCTGGCTGCCAGGCATGTGCCCCTTCCTCCCTTAAACACTCATCTGCCTCCCTCCCTAAGCTGCGCATTCCGTTGGAGAGGTCCGCTTTCCCCGATGGAGGAGGACCCTTCTTCGGTGAAGGCTGTACCGGTAGGTGGGCTCCTCTGCTAGAAGCTCCGAACAAGCCCTCAGGCTGAAGATCCTTGACTCGTCTCAAGGGCAGTGGGTAGGAAAGTGATGGAGTTTTTAAAAAACATTGCTTCTTCCTCCCAGCAGCCGTGGATCAAAGATTTAAATAAAATTTCGGAGCTCAACTATTTTGCTTATATTTCCCATGAAGGAAATTGCCCTTTGGGCTTAGGCCAACTTGGACCGGGTTAATGAGGGAATCCATCCTGCTCCTTATCATCCGAGGCCCTGGGGTTTGCGAGGCCCTGGGGTTTGCGGAGCCCAGCCCTGTGTGTCTGCTGTGAAAGCCAGATTCGACCTTCAGCTTCTGCCTCTTTCTGCTCCTGCCCTTGGGCAACGCCCTTACCGTCTTCCAACTTCTGTTACTTCCCAAGGTAAAAGAGGTGCATGATAACTTCCCTAGCACCCTAAATGGGAATAATTACGACCCCGGGAGCAATTAATTCTTGGGAGAGCACTGTCTCAAGGGGGTGAAATGATATACTCATTGTCACCCAAAACCAGGAAAGGTTTGGCCCAGAGAGATGGATTTTATGAAAAACGGAGAAATGGGGGCTTCTTTCCCTGATTCCCTCTGGCCCTTTCTGTTGATTTGTAGGATTGGGCTCAGCACAGAGGAGATAAACAACATTGCTGGGGGTTCATTAGCTTCCAGGTTTTGCAGGGGTCACTCCGTACTGCCCTCCTTTTAATACTCTTCTGAGGAAACACAGGAAACAGGAAGAAAATTACCATCATTAATAGTGTTTTCAAGACCTGCTTTGTTCCCTGGATTTTTTTTTTTTCCTATAGCCGCCAATCTAGTCTTCACTCCCACAAGTGGACGTGTCTGCGTGTTACACGCGGGCTGTGAGTTGTTCTCCCTGGACGATGCCCTCCCTGCAGACAGACTCTGCATCTGTCTCTTCATTTGCACAGCAGGGAGTCTCTTCGTTCTCTTAACGAAGAAGGTTGGATTTGGAAATTCCAGGGTAATTTTTCTCTTTAAGCCATCCGTGGCCTTTGTAGGCCTTTTCGGGATTATTTCAGACCAGGTTTGGGAAGCCGGGGGCTTTTTTGACATCTGCCGTGTTGATAGGGATGGAGACCCAGGGCTAGGAATCAGTCTCCAGAATGCTCTATTGTGGCCTTCCTTCCTCTCCTGCTTCCAGTTAGCTAACATTGGCTCTGGGTTATGGGTGGTCTGGAATTCAACATGGTCACACCATTCCCCTATAGTCTATATGAGTTTCTGGAAGAAAAGGACCAACAGTTATTGTGTTCTTAATATGAGCCGGGATTTATTCAAAATGCTTTAGATGAATTGTACATCTAATTTTTTCTTCATGGCTCCATGCTATAGATCTGCTTACGCCCTGTGACGTGGAGAAATGGAGACACAAAAGAGGTCCAGTAACTCATCCAGCAGCAGTTAGGAAGGACTTGAGTCCCTAGGGCCAGTATTTGGAAATGTGTGGGGGCAGTTTTTTCGTCCTCTGACTAGAGGGAGCCACTGGCAACCTTGTAGGTGGGAGACAGTGCTTCCATGAGGCCGGGGATGAGTCACTTTTTCAGAAAGCATTGATCCTAAATGCCAGGGGCTTCTCTGAGAATTAGCCTTGCTCTTTTTTTTTAAATAATTTTTTTTTTTTAAGATTTTATTTATTCATCTGTCAGAGAGAGAGAGGGAGAGAGAGCAAGCACAGGCAGACAGAATGGCAGGCAGAGGCAGAGGGAGAAGCAGGCTCCCTGATGAGCAAGGAGCCCGATGTGGGACTCGATCCCAGGACGCCGGGATCATGACCTGAGCCGAAGGCAGCTGCTTAACCAACTGAGCCACCCATGCGTCCCTTTTTAAATAATTTTTAAAAAATATTACATTAACATATAATGTATTATTAGCCCCAGGGGTACAGGTCTGTGAATCGCCAGGTTTACACATTTCACAGCACTCACCATAGCACATAACCTTCCCCAATGTCCATAACCCAACCACCTTCTCCCTACTCCCCTCCCCCCGAAACCCTCAGTTTGTTTTGTGAGATTAAGAGTCTCTTATGGTTTGTCTCCCTCCCGATCCCATCTTGTTTCATTTATTCTTTTCCTACCCCCCAAACCCCCCACGTTGCATCTCTACTTCCTCATATCAGGGAGATCATATAATAATTGTCTTTCTCTGATTGACTTATTTCACTGAGCATAATACCCTCTAGTTCCATCCATGTCGCAAATTAGCCTTGCTCTTAATAATACATGTGCCATGTTTTCACCTGGGAAAGGAGAAACAATGAAGGTGAGAAGGAAGAAAAAGAACTTTCTGGTGAGTTCAGGAATTCAGAAGCAGAAACTGGCTCTGGTAGAAAGTAGAAACTGTGCTCAACAGTTTAAAGGGCACATTTTGCGGGGCGCCTGGCTGGCTCAGTCGTTTAAGCCTCTGGCCTTGAGTTTGGCTCAGGTCATGATCTCAGAGTCCTGTGAACCAGCCCTGCCTTGGGCTCCCTGCTCAGTGGGGAGTCTACTTGTCTCCCACTGCCTCTGCCCTCCCCCTGCTCACTCACGCACACTTTCTCTTAAATAAATAAATCCTTAAAAAAAATGAAGGACAGGGGCGCCTGGGTTGCTCAGTGGGTTAAGCCGCTGCCTTCGGCTCAGGTCATGATCTCAGGGTCCTGGGATCGAGTCCCGCATCGGGCTCTCTGCTCAGCAGGGAGCCTGCTTCCCTCCCTCTCTCTCTGCCTGCCTCTCTGTCTACTTGTGATCTCTCTCTGTCAAAGAAATAAAATCTTTAAAAAAAAAAATGAAGGACATATGTTGGGCAGAGACAAACTATGATGAAAGTTTTCTTTTAAGGGTTTGATTTGTGTTTCTCTAGTGATTAGTAAAATTAAACATCTTTTCATATGCTTGCAGCCTTTGAGTATCTTTGGAGAAATATTTATTCAAGTCCTTTGCCCGTTTAAATCACATTTGTTTTAATCTTGAGTTGTAGGAGTTATTTATGTATGCTGGATATTAACCCTTTATTAGATATGATCTGCAGATATTTCCTCCCATTCCTTAGGTTGCCTTTTCAATCTGTTGACTGTCTTTTGATACATAATTTAAATTTTTGATGTAGTCTGATTTTTTTTCCTCTTGTTGCCTGTGCTTCTGATGTCCTAACAAATGATTGCCAAATCCAGTGTCATGAGATTTTGCCCCTGTTTTCTCCTAGGAGTTTTCTATTTTAGTTCTGTTGGGGTGCTTAATCTGTTTTTGAATGTTTGTATATGATGTAAGGTAAGAGTCCAAGTTCATTTTTTGTCAGGTGGATATCCAATTTCCCAACCCCATTTGTTGAAGAGACTATCCCTTCCCCTTGAATGGTCTGGGCACCCTTGTCAAAAATCATTTCACCATATATGTGAGGTTTATTTTTGGGCTCTCATTTCGATTCCACTGGTCTACCTCTCCGTCTTGATGTTTGTACCACAGTTCTTATTACCATAGCTTCGTGGTAAGTTCTGAAATCAGAAGGTGTGAGATCTCCAAATTGCTCTTTTTCAAGGCTGTTTTGGCTATTCAGGGTCTCCTAAGATTCCAAATGAATCTTAGGATGAATTTTTCTATTTCCACAAAAAAAATGCTATTGGAGTTTTGAGAGGGGTTTCATTGAATCTGTAAATCACTTTGGGTAGGAGCACCTGGAAGGTTCTGTCAGGTAAGCATCTGCCTTTAGCTTGGGTCATAATTCCCAGGGTCCTGGGATCGAGCCCTGAATAGGGCTCCCTGGTCAGCAGGGAGACTGCTTCTCCCTCTGCCACTCCCCCTTGCTGGTGCTCTCATGTTCTCTACCAAATAAATAAATAAAATCTTAAAAAAAAAAATCACTTTCGGTAGTACAGACGTTTTACCAGTAGTTAGGTGTCCAATCCATGAACATAGATATACCTGTTTATTTGTTGTATCTTGTTTCATTTGCTTCAGCAGTGTTTCTCAGTCTCAGTAAGTTGTGTGTTTCCAGAAGTCTATCCATGTCTTCTAGGTTATCCAATTTGTTGGTGTAAACATTTGTTCATGGTATTCTCTTACAGACATTTTTATTTTCATGACATTGATTGTAGTGGCCTCATTTCTGAGTTTATTTTTTTTTTCCTTAGTTAATCTAGGGAAACATTTATCAACTTTGTTGATCCTTTCAAAAGAAAAACAACTGTTTTGTTGCTTTTCAATTTTTTTTTTCTATTTCATTATCTCTGCTCTCATCTTCTTTAGATCCTTTATCTTCTGAGTTTGGATTTAGTTCTTCTAGTCTCTTGAGGTATAAAGCTAGATTGTTGATTTCAAATCTTTTTAAATGTGCTTGTTTAGAACTGTAAACTTTTAGCAATGCTATCATTTCATCCCATAAATTTTGGTGTTACATTTTTCATTTGTCTTAAGGTATTTTCTCATTTCACTGTGGCTTCTTTAATCCTTTGGTTGTTTGAATGTATTGATTAGTTTTCAGATTTGTGGATTTTCCAGTTTATGTTCTGAGATTGATTTCTAGTTTCATTCCATTATGATTGGGAGTGGAGAGGAGTGTGATTCCAATGTCATTGAATTTAAGACTTATTTTGTCTGACATGTGGTCCAGAGAATGCTATTTGTGTGCTTGAGAAGGACGTACGTTCTGCTGTTAGATAGAGTGTTCTGGATTGTCATGTCCCACTAGCTTATAGTGGTGTTCAAGTCCCCTGTTTCTTTGTTGTCCTTTTGTTTGGTTGTTTTATCCATTATTGAAACTGGGACATCGGAGTCTGTTGTTATTGTGTTTCCTGTTTCTTCCTTCAATTTTTGTCAATGTTCACTATGTATATTTGGAAGCTCTGAGGTTTGGTTCATAAATATTTAAAATTATTTTAGCTCCTTGGTGAATTGACCCTTTATCATTATATAACGTCCTCCGTGTCTCTTAGAACAGTTTTCAATAAAGTGTACCAACATGGGAATGCAGATTTCCTATTTAATCTTTATTTTCCTTCCCCCACCCCGTCCTCATACATCTATATTATAGGTAGATTATTATATCACACCCGTGATTGCATGGGTGTGAGCTGGCTTATTTTGTATTTCTTCAGTTACTAATGAGGCTGAACATTTTCTCATCTGTCTTTTCCCCTATAGTGTGTGACTCTTGGGCTAAAGAAACTCTTCTGTATCCTGGCTCGAAGATAAGCATTTAACTCATTAGCAATCTTATAAATAGGTATGAGGTAGGGCTTTACTTTCTAAAATTTTATTTTATGAATGGTTAGCCAGTCAATGATCCTTTTTCTCCCCTCTAGATACTATCAGTATTCCCCCAATGCTTTTGTTTTTCCATTTACAGGTTTTTCAGGATTCCCGAACAAAGATGGTCATAACAAAGTAAAAGAAACAACAGGGAGAAGAGTAAACAGAAAACCAAGACGTAAATTCACTCAGGATGAATTGTGCCTACTTAATCACGTATTTGAAGAAACTCCTTACCCTGATTTTATCATTCGAAAAAAACTGGCTGAACGACTGTATTGTCAAATATATGCGATTGATGTAAGTGAAATTTTCAAAGTTTTGCTATATCTTTTTTTTTTTTAAGATTTTATTTATTTACTTGACAGACAGAGATCACAAATAAGCAGAGAGGCAGGCAGAGAGAGAGGTGGGGAAGCAGGCTCCCCACTGAGCAGAGAGCCCGACGCGGGGCTCAATCCCAGACCCTGGGATCATGACCTGAGCCGAAGGCAGAGGCTTTAGTAGACAATATGGAGAATGCAAGAAATTAAGAAAAAGCTTAATAGTATTTCATCACATGGGACAAAGTATTGACATCTGGGTCACTTTTTTTGTTCATCTCAATGTGGGTATGAATATGTTCTGTGTTTCCTGGAAAAATCTGACACCAGTGAGGCAAGTTTGGAAGCAGAGACCAGTCAAGAACATATTGCAATTATCTCAAATCAGGAGGACAATGGTGGTTTGGATCAGGCCACTGGTTGTAGTACAGACAAGATGGAAAGACTCGTGATTGTTTGCTAAGAGAGCTCTGCATTCTGTCTCATAGCATATGCAATAAAGAGGGCTGCAAAATGTTGGCTTAAGCAAATGGAAGATTGAAGTTGCATTTAATATAGGGAAGGCCTGGGAATGGAGGTTTTATGATGGAGGTTTTATGACAGACAGAAGCACTAGGAGTTTCACTATGGACACACGATGTTTGGTTTGCCAATTAAACCACCAGAGATAGGAAGTGAACAGTTTGGACATACAGGTCTGAAGTGCAGGAAAATGACTTGATAGGGTCCCTCCAACTGACACAATACCTCACAGCTTTAGTGGTTGCTTCACAACTGTTTGTTGCATGAGCCAATATCTTTATAAGTTTTATTTATTTAAATAGGCTCTACACCCAACATGGGGCTCAAACTCAGAACTCCCACATCAAGAGTCACGTGCTCATCTGACTGAGCCTGCCATGTGCCCCATCATGAACCAAATCTCAGCTACAATTTTGGAAACAATTGGTGAATCATCAGCTGTATGAAATTATTAGAATTGTGATATTTTTATACACACAATTATCATATTTCTCTTCCGTTATTGTCCATAAATCACTCGATTGATTGGTTGCTCGACAACAGGAAGACCTAAGTAGCTTTGAAGGATACAAAGTATAGGCAAATACAATGGAGTAATGATGTTCAGTTGTAAAAGTTTCATGAACTAGAAACATTGTGAGGAAAATACGAATCAGCGATTCCATACAAATAAGTAGAAAATCTGGACAAGTTAATAACCAGGAAAGAACTGGGTGGTCAGATACATAAACATTCTTAGGCCGTGTTTTCCTCTTTTTTTTTTTTTTTTTTTTTTTTTTTAGTACTGTGTTTTCTTTACATTTCTGGATCCATGACTTGGGTTTCTCAAGTTCAAACTGCCTTTTTTCTTTTTTTTTTTAAGATTTTATTTATTTATCTGACAGACAGAGATCACAAGTAGGCAGAGAGGCAGGCAGAGAGAGAGGAGGAAACAGGCTCCCCACTGAGCAGAGAGCCTGATGCAGGGCTCGATCCCAGGACCCTGAGATCATGACCTAAGCCAAAGGCAGAGGCTGTAACCCACTGAGCCACCCAGATGCCCTGAAACTGCTTTTTAATCTTTATTTTAAAAATGTTTTCGGGACGCCTGGGTGGCTCAGTTGGTTGGACGACTGCCTTCGGCTCAGGTCATGATCCCGGAGTCCCGGGATCGAGTCCCGCGTTGGGCTCCCAGCTCCATGGGGAGTCTGCTTCTCCCTCTGACCTTCTCGCTCATGCTCTCTCTCACTGTCTCTCTCTCAAATAAATAAATAAAATCTTTAAAAAAAAAAATGTTTTCATTGTCCATACTTGGCAGAGGGATAGTTTTATAAGAGGATCCATAATAGGAAGTTCACACATGACTGTTCAAGTTAGAGTTGGATGCACATGCTTAGAGAAGAATGCCTGTGATGTGATCAGGAAGCAAGCATGGCTTGGGGGAGGATCCTAGGAGGCTGTTACACCCGAGGAAGTGAGCACACTTGCTTTTTGGTTGATCACTTGCTTCATGAGATGATCTTCTAATGGCCTACGACATCTGACAAACTGACCCTTGCAGCTCTGCTTTCTGTAAAATTATCGATGTTGGGCAATTGTCAGAATGAGTGTTTGGAGATGTCAGATTCACTGGGCATAGAGTTTTGTTTTAAGCAATCATCACGAGTGAATCAAAGATCCTTCCAGCTTCAGTGCTACTAATGGCCGCAAGCATTCCCGAACTTGGAGACAGGGGATTCCAGGAGAGTGTAAATGGCCAAAGGCCCCCCTCAGACACTGTTACCTATGCTGTAGGACTAACTAACCGACCACAACCGTGGCTTATTAGAATGGATTGTCTCAGAAAGCATTGCATCATTTCCAACCCACCCCCACAAAGTCCTAGGATTATGGTTGGCGTGTATAACTTACTTTAGGGAGGAAGAAAATGGGAGACTGGAAGTCCTAAGTAGAATACATAGGGTCACATCACACAGTCAAGTTATGAGTCAAGCTCTTGCCTATGTGTAGACTCAGAAAACAAATTTTGAAATACGATTTAGATCACGTGGAGTCATGAGTTCATTCTGGTGTGGCAGCTTGAGTAAAAAAGTAAGTTGTGTGGGGGCAGCACCTGGGTGGCTTGGTTAAGCATTCGACTCTTGGTCTCAGCTCAGGTCTTGATCTCAGAATCGAGAGTTTGAGTTGCACATTGGGCTTCACCCCTGGGCATGGAGCCTACTTGAAAAACAAAACCAAAAAACCAAAAAAAATCCCCAAACACTTGTGGTGTGGGGAAGATTCAGTGTGCTTGGGGAACAGCTGGGAATGAGTTCTGTCTAAAGGCAGAGGAGGCTGCCAGCAGGTTGGCGGCGGATTTGGAAAGGTTTACACGGACAGGAGTGAGGCGGTTGAGCGTTTGGAGTTACGCCGCGTGGCTTCATCACTACACGTGCAGCCCCAGGAAAGAAGGCCTTTATTTCCCACCTCTCACTTAAGGTCAGGAGGAGAGTCACTGATGAGACACTGAGATGAGGCCAAACTATGATCTCTCCCACCTTATGGAAATGCACTGTGCAATGATACCAGATAAACCAACCTGATAAATCATGAGTCTCTTTTCTCTTTAGAACTGGTTCCAGAACAGAAGAGCCCGCCTGCCACTGAAAGAGAGACAGAGAATATCCGCTGCTAGGAAACTGCGTGCATTCCCTATCCAGGATCATTCACATGGAAGCCTCCAGAACTCCCAGGCAGAGTCTCCCATCGGGGCCCCGGAGCAGACTTGCTCCTCTACCCTGAAGGCTCTTCTAGAAGGCACGGACTATTTCTCTCCTGAGACACAATGGGTTCCCAGTCAACAGGATGGCTCGGGGGACACTGGGGTCCCAGGCATTAAAAAAGAACTGAGCTGTGCTTCGGAGTATCCGGGTGACACAGGGAATAGATTGTATCCCAGTTATTCATCTTATAGCTACGGATCAGCAATCTGTCTTCATCCTTCTGCTTCCATGCAGTATTTTGAGAAGCATGAGCCCAACACCGGGCAGAGCTGGAACGCGAGGGCCTCCATTCTGCCGCAAGTTCATAGTCAGCAAGAGGAGGGGTGGCAGCAGGAGCAGGCCTGCTGTCCTTACCCACTCTATCAAGGTCAGCAGCAGAATGGCTACTTGCTGTCCTCTACAGCAGCCTCGGCTTCAGAGGAATCAAGACAAATTGTGTTTCAGGATCAGCTGATTATGCATCTGAATCCTGGGGATTCAGGGCAGCAGGTGCCATCCCTTCAGTCACAACAGCAGGGCGGAGGCTTTCAAACCAGTAGTGGTCAGGTCTCTGCTAACACAGGTTGAGCAGGAGAAGGCAGCAGCTTTGGGCTGAGGGGTCTGCAAAGGTCCACCACTGGGACTAAGGATGTGGCTCCAGAAAATGGTTCTAAGCTTCGGAAAAAAACAGCCATAGGTCATCATCCCGTGGTCATCCACACAGCAGCTGAAGGCAAAGGTCTCTCTAGAGCCTGAGCCTAAGCCCTGTGTTCAGGAAAGCTCCATGAGCTGATGGTCCTCCTAGTAGGGTGGCAGTGTCCCCCAGGGCTCAGCCCCTGGCTGTGCAGTTCATAGTGCCTTGGAGAAAAGCTGGACTAGAGTCTAGAGTAGAAAACCAGCCAACAGGGAGAACACAGGTGTCAATGAGCAACAGTTTGGGCTTCAGAAAAAAGAGGCTCTTACACAGCATCTGCCCTAGATATCGTCCCCTCCCCCCACCTCAGAGACAAGATAGCCTACAAGAATTATGAGGATACAAAGGACCCTCCCCTGCACTTTGCTGGGGCGGGGAGGGTTGTAGGGGTGGAGGTTGCCCTTGGATTAGCCTGCAAGGCTGCTGCAGCAAATCTCTCTACTCGCAGAAGCAGGGCAGCAGCCACATGTCTTTGCTGGAGCCCTGACTGCAAGGGCCATCCCAGCAATGTCAGCTTGGTCAACCAGGAGGCAGCCCCTCGGGTGAGACTAATTGAGGCAGGCACTGGAAGCAGAGCTCCGAAGAGCCCCAGGGTGATCCTGTACCTGAGCTGGCGGGCAGCCCTCACCGGTCCTCTTGGCTGAGAGCTGCTTCCTGGGAGTCGATTTAGAGTGTGATCTCACAAGATCTGAGAGTACCCAGTTGAGCATCTAAAAGCTGTGTTGTTAAACCAGTGTTTTTGAGGACTAGCCTGGTGTCTGTGAACCTCCAACTTTAAAATGGTTTTCATAATTTTAGCGTTAGGGTACAGAATCATTTCTCAAACATTTTGGAGCATTTGCCGTCAGTCTCGTATGCTTTCCCCTACACTGTGTAATGTGTTTTAACATATTTTAGATTTTTAACCCAAATCGTGTCCTATTAATTGCAGAATAAAGCATGTCTCCCACGTCTTTTCCAAGGCAATTTGACATGCAGATCTATTTCATTTTGCAAATATCTCCCATCTGTTACTACAGATCAGACTGAGAGTAGGTGGGGAATTAGCAGCTGTGAGGAGTATGATTTGCATAGTCATTTTGCACAACCACTAGGAAATATTCCTAGTTAATATTCCTCTTGAAGTTGTAGATGTTTGGCAAGTCTGCTACAGGATGTATCCTTTAAAGAAACTTGCACGTACTTACACAACATAGCCCCCGAATAAATATCACTTAAAGTAATAATCCTGCACAATTCAAAATAATAGACCAGAACTGTCTAGTTGAGAGTTCTGGTATACAATGTTCAGTGAAAACTCAAGTTGCCTAATTTTTATAGCATTATGTTTATAAAAATGAAATAAGAGCTTCAGCAATAAATAACATTGGTTATTCTTGGGTACACATAAAATATGCAGCAAGAACAAAAACATGGGCTAGGTTTATATTCACTGAATCATGGAGAGTTGCAGCAGGCGAGGAGGAAAAGAAAATACCTTTTATATTATGATGCATGGCCTATATATACTGAGTTATAGCCAGCATCATTGTCTACATTTCCCATTTCACACTCAGTATGATATTTACTATATTATGTATTATCAGTTTCTGCCGAAGGAATCCATTTACTTCTGATTGGCTCAGTTTATTTCCTTCTGTACAGATTTTGAAAATTTCAATTCCCTTTTTTCTTTGATTACCATAATATAGTTTCTAATCCTGTAACCTGTTCATGTAGGGATTTAGATAGATTTTTCTTATATTAAAAATGTTTGTGTTCTTGGAATAACCCAGTTAGGTTATGAGGTATCCTTATGTATTTCTGAATTAAAGTTGCTAATATTTTTTTTCGTTGCTAATATTTTTAGTAAGATCATGATATCTGTTCATGAAGGAGAAGGCCTCTAATAATTTTCTTTAGTGACACTAGGGGTTTAGATCATGTTAAGATAGCTCTGGAATGAATTATGTAGGCCACCACTTACCATTTAAAATCTTGTGTAAAAATTTATCCGTTTATTAAATGAATTTCCTAATGAATCAGTTTGGTCTGATGTTTTCTTTATCAGAAGAATTTGGTCTACTAATTAAGTGTTTAAATGATTATAGGACAACCATTTCTCCTTGAGCTATTTTTGGCAAGTTGAATTTTCCACTCAATATCCATCTCACCTGAATTTTCAAATTTATTGCCATAAAGTCATTGGAAACATCCTCTTTATGCCTAGAGCATATGTAGTAATGTATTTTGCATTTTGCAGTTCGAATTTGTACTTTTATTTTTCGTCTTTGTCAGAGGTTTGGAAAAACCCAGGTAGTATCTATGGAGCTTGTATTTCCCTGTGGACAGGACTTACCCAGGCCAAGGAGGGCTCCAGGAGTCGGGTCTGGGTGGGTGGATGTCCCTGTGGACCACCTCAGAGGAACCTCTCGATTCAGCCTTGAGCGGTGGATCCCATTCCCCACAGGGCTGTCAAAAGGCACCTGCTCCCCTGAGGTCCCGCTGCCCTTCTCAGACTCCCACGTGCATGCATGCATGTTTGCGTGCTTGCGACAAAAGCGTCCAGCCAGGAGCTGGTGCAAGTTTGGGGTCAGACTCCAGGCTGGGGCTTCTGGGGCTTTCTTCTGCAAGGACACTACATCCAGCCGGTGTGTGGAGTGTAGCACGGGGACTCAACAAGGGAGTCCTGCCCCTCTGATCGCTGAGCCTGAGAGCTGGGGACCAGAGGTGTCAAGTTCTGGCTCTGGGTCAGGTCCAGGTCTCTTGGGTTGTCAGGCACCTCCCGTGAATGTCTGTTGAAGTGGGGCGGAGACTTGGGTGCCAGAAGCCCCTGTTTTGCCTCTGGAGCAGGAACTGGATTTACCGGTTAGTGATCTAGTTGGATCTTAGTGTTGGGGGAAGAAAGTCAGAGCATCCTTTCGGTTTGGCGGGAGAGTTGGGACTCACCCCCCAGGCCTGGGTAAGAACCCACCAGCCATACTGTGGTTCATACAGATCTCCTTGGGAGGGTAAACAATTTATTTACGAATGTTTTTCACATTTTCTGCAAAGAATGCTTAGAATAGGATTAAGTCCTGCATCAGGCTCCCTGCTTAACGGAGAGCCTGCTAAATCCCTCTGCCCCTCACCTAGTCATGCTCTCTCTCTTTCTCTCTCTCTCTCTCTCCCTCGCCCCCCCTTTCTCCCTCACTTTGTCAAATAAATAAATAGATGAAATCTTAAAAAAAAAAAAAAAAGCAAAGGCAGTTTCATTAAAAAAAGAAGAAGAAAAAGTATAGGCTTTACAAGAAATGGTATTAGAAGACTTTAGACAACTACATGGAAAAGAATAAAGGAGACACCTATCTCACACTCTATACAAAACTTAAATTATTTCAGTTGGCAAATATCAGGTCCATTTTCGTAACCTGTAGAACTCCTTCTACATGTATGTTGCAAATCTGGGAAGGTGACTAGTGATCCTAAGAGCTCCCATCTCTGACAAATCCTGAGAATCACAGAAGGGAAACAGAATCATCCTGGGAAATGATTTAAAAATAAAACTAATGGCATGGTATCAATGTTGTCAAATTGTTGTATCAGAACCTTTTCAGACACATTTGTACCACTAATATGTGGGTGTGTATGCATACACACATGCGTGTCTGTTTTGATTTCCAGATGATTAATGAATGTACAGTTCATATTAGGCACAATAACTTATGCTGGTTGTACTTTGATGATAAATACTGGGGTTGGAATAGTCTGACCCTTGTGTTTTAGTGTCTAATAGGTACCTAGACACACCATAAAGGATATCCACTGCGTGGCTGTTAGTAGTAGTGTGACACAGGTGTGTTTGCAGATATAAGCTATGAATTAGATCTATGTGTCCTGACCTCATTCTAACACCTTCCAGTGCAAAAAAAGAGAAAGTGAAAGACTGAAAAGCTATACAATGGAGCAGAATGCAATTCGATAACACAATGAAGTAATATTTATTTTTTCAAGGATATTTTTGTTGTACAAAAGTAGAACCACACACACCTTGCTATACACTAACATAGTCTAGAAACGATCACTTCAAAAGGAAGGAGAAAATAGAAAAATAAGGATAATTTTTAAAATTGAGATAAAATTGACATGTAACATTATGTAAGTTTAAGTGTACAACACATAGAGTTGATACATTTATACTGTGGTGTGACTGCGTTGTCACATTAGCTCACACCTCTCTCACGTCACATCATCGGCATTTCCTCTAGTGGTGGGAGCAGCTGAAATGAAATCTCTTAGCAAGTTGAGTGTTTGCAGTGGAGCTGTGTTGTCTGTGGTCTCTGTACCCTATTAGTTCGCCAGGACTTATGCATCTATTAGTTTCAGATGTGGATCCTTATGCCCCCATCTGTCCCATCCCCCTGCAGTGGCGGGCCAGTTTATATTGCCACCAAGGGTGCACGAGGGTCCCGCCAACCATGTTATTGTTTCCCTGAGTTCACTGAGTTGTTTGTGTTCTCTTGAATCTCATGGAGTTTCTTAAAATAATTATTAACAAAAAAAATTTTCAGATAACTTAAAGCTCTCCGTTTCTTTGGGGTCAGTTACTTGACAATTTCGGTGATGTGGTGGCATCATGTTTCCTTGCATTTCATGTCTCTGCTGGTTTTGCACTGATGGCTCTGCACAGTCATGTCCTTCGGTCTTTTCAGACTGGTTTCTGTGGGGAAAAACTTCCATCCGGAGGTGGTTCTGTGGATGCTGGTGGGATGCAGCATCTCTGGCTCCTGGGAAGGCATCGTGGTGGCTTCATCAGCGGCACTTGCTGTTGGACAGAGAGCGGGAATCTCCTGGCGCTGACATTGCAGAGGTCATGCAGGTGGCCTTGGTAAGTAGAGCTGCTGGGGTCCTCAGAGGTGAAGGCTTCTTGGGTTCTCCTGTTCTTCTTTTATCTGCAGGATGAAGTGGCTCCGGCTGGTGGGGCTGGGGGGAAGGCAGCAGCATTGGCCCTGGCCTGACGAGCTGTAGTCATGGCTTGGACCCAGGGGGCAGAGTACCCTGGCAGCACAGCCTGGGGCTGGTAGGTCAAAGTCTCAAATCTGGCCCCAAGGGGTAGTCATGAGTCAGCGGCAGTATGCTCTGATGGTAGGTTGTTCACTAAAGCCATGTATGGGAACCTGGTATCAGAGCAGTAACAGTTCAGAACCATGAGTCGACATGTGGGTAGGACTCAGCAGTGGCCACACAGGAAGGCAAGGACAGTTCAGAGCCATGTCCTGGGACTCTGGCCCCAGCAATGAGGCGTCAGGGCCATGAGCGGAGACCTGGGGATTTGGGCTCAGTGCTGGCAATGCTCTCAGGCAGTGATGGTTCAGTCGTCACCTGGGGTTCTGCAGGCTCAGGGCAGTGGCATTGCTCCTGGATGATGACCTGTCAGGGAGGCAAGCTGAGTGCATCATGGAGCTCAGGGGAACAGTGGCAATGATAACTCGGAGCCGTGACCTGGGACCCAGGGGAAAGGGCTCAGGGCAACAGCTGGCCAGTCCTCACAATGACGGTTCAGAGCTGCAACCTGAGATCCAGTGGGTGGGGCGCAGGCCAGAGGCCACTCCCGTCTGAGGGGCTGTGGTATCCTGATCCCAGAGAGTGGGGCACAGTGGCAACTGGGACTTCTGGGAGTAAGCCTCACCCCAAGTGACAGCCCCAGCATGTGGAAGTAGACACAGTGGCGGGGACTCAGGCCGCTCCACCAGCTGGGAGCAGCACTGCTGCAGACTGTGGGATACCTGGATAACAAAGCCTGCACGTGTCCACAGCAGTGAGGCTCTCTGGGGTTCTCCTGCTCTCTTTCTCCCCCTGCATTGACACTCCTCTTAGGGGATCCCTTGTGGTTCCAAGCTGCTCTTGACTGGCGAATGGGAAGATACATGTTAATGCACTTCCCATAGTCTTCGATGTGTCTCTTTTCAACTTTTGAGGTCTCCAGGCTTTTGGCTGCTTTTTAAAGTCCAGAGCTTTCTCTGAGCTGTTTTTGGGGACATTTATTTATTTTTATTTTTCCTCATTTTATTTATTAAAATAAAGAAAAATTTTAGTTCCAGTATAATTAAGATACAGAATTATATTAGTTTCAGGTGTATAATATACATTCAGATGTACAATCTTATACATTACTCAGTGCACATCATGATAGGTGTGCTCTTAGTTCCCTTTTACGAACCATGTCACCCATCCCCCACCCACCAACTGTCTGGGAACCACCAGTTTGTTCTCTATAGTTAAAAATCTGTCTTTTGTTTGTCTCTTTTTTCCTTTGTTTTGTTTCTTAAATTCCACATATGAATGAAATCATATGGCACTTGTCTTTCTCCAACTGACTTATCTCAGTTATTTTTTTAAAAATATTTTATTTATATATTTGACAGACAGCGATCACAAGTAGGCAGAGAGGCAGGCAGAGGGAGGGAGAAGCAGGCTCTCCTCTGAGCAGAGAGCCTGATGTGGGGCTCGACCCCTGGACCCTAAAATCATGACCTGAGCCAAAGGCAGAGGCTTTAACCCACTGAGCCACCCAGATGCCCCTCAGTTAGTTATTTTATTAAAAAGTTTATTGTTGTTGGGGGAGAGATGCACATTGAGACTTCCTAGCTCACTATCTTACTGATGTCCTCCTCTACCTTTTTTGGTCCATTTCTTCTTATGGGAGTTTTAGCGCATGGTGTCTTTAAAGAAATTTGTCAACTTCATCTAGGTTATCAAATTTGTAGGCAGAGTTTTAATTTTTAAATTTAATTAATTTATTTTTAAACATTTTATTTATTAATTATTAATGTATTAATTAATTTATTTTTATTAAATTATTTTTAATTTGAATTAAACTTATTAATCCAATTAATTAATTAATTAAAATGTTTATTTATTTAATTTATTTTAAATATTTTATTTATTTACTTGGCAGAGAGAGAGAGAGAGAGAGAGCAAGCAGAGGGGAGTGGGAGAGGCAGAAGCAGGCTCCCCACTGAGCTGAGAGGCCGATGTGGGGCTTGATCCCAGGACCCTGGGATCATGACCTGAGAGCTGAAGGCAGAAGCTTAACTGACTGAGCCACCCAGGTGCCCCTGTAGGCAGACTTTTTTTAAAAAGTATTCCTTTATTAGCTTTCGAGTTATCCTCTAGCTCAGAGATACTTACTATTTTCGGTCTACCAATAAGCATTGATCAAAAGCATTCTTCATTTTCATTATAGTTTTTTTCATCAGTAGCATTTATTTTTGGTTCTTTTTAGTTTTTCCCTGTCTCTGTTTACTTTACCCATCTGTTCTGGCATGCTATCTACTATATCAGTTAAAGTCCTTATAATATTAATCACAGTTGTTTTAAAGTCTGGGTCTGATATTCCGATTATCCCTGTCAAGTCTAGTTTTGATGTTTACTCTGTCTCTTCAAATTATGTTTTCTCTCTTTTTTTATGTTGTATGCCTTGTCATTTTTCCCAGCTTTATTGAGATGTAATTGACATAAGACATTGTGTAAATTTATAGTGTATAATGTGATGAGTCTATATATATATATTCATTGGGAAATGATTATCAGAATACAGTTAGTTAACACATCCATCACCTCACGTAATTACCATTTTTTGTTGTGATGAGAACATTTAAGATACTGTTTTAGCAAATTTCATGTATACAATACAGTATTATTGTAGTCAGCATGCTGTACTTTAGATGCCTAGAACATACTCACCTTATAATTGAAATTTATTCCTTTTGATGGGTATCTCCTCATTGCCCCCAAGCCCACCACCGACTCTAGTCCTGGGCAACTACCAATATCCTCTCTCTTTCCATGAGTTCGTCTTTTTAAGATTCCACAAAAGAACATACAATATGTAAGTTTTTCTTGGTAGCCAGGCACCGTGTGCTGGGTAAAAGGAACTGCTTTACTAGACTTTTAGTAATGTGGTAGTGAGGTATGGGCCGAGGGGAAGCATTCTATCATTCTATGATTAGGACTTAATCTTTTTTAAAAAATTTTATTTTTTTAATAAACGTATAATGTATTATTAGCCCCAGGGGTACAGGTCTGTAAATCGCCAGGTTTACATATTTCACAGCACTCACCATAGCACATACCCTCCCCAATGTCCATAACCCCACCACCCTCTCCCGAACCCCCGACCCCCAGCAATCCTCAGTTTGTTTGGTGAGTCTCTTGTCTTAAGAGTCTCTTATGGCCCTCCCGATCCCATCTTGTTTCATTTATTCTTTTCCTACCCTCCAAACCCCCCATGTTGCATCTCCACTTCCTCATATCAGGGAGATCATATGATAGTTGTCTTTCTCCAATTGACTTATTTCACTGAGCATAATACCCTCTAGTTCCATCCACGTAGTAGGATTTAATCTTTTTATAAGTCTATGCCTCTGGACTGTCGGATTCACAATTGTTTCTTGGATTCTTTTGTCCACTTGTAGGTGGGAGAAGATGGGTAGGCTTCTCTCACATGGAGGGCTAGAGCTGGCGGGAGTTAGGTGTTCACCTCTTACCAGGTCAGGTTCAGTTCTGATAGGATCTCAGCAGGCTAGGTCTGATTAACTAGTTCTTCCTGAGTGTAGGTTTTGTTAAGAAGAACAGGATACTCTGTTGTATTTAAAAAATGGTTTCTTTTGGGGTGCCTGGGTGGCTCAGTGGGTTAAAGCCTCTGCCTTCGGCTGAGGTCATGGTCCCAGGGTCCTGGGATCGAGCCCCACGTCGAGCTCTCTGCTCAGCAGGGAGCCTGCTTCCTCCCCTCTCTCTCTGTGCCTGCCTCTCTGCCTACTTGTGATCTCTGCCTGTCAAATAAATAAATAAATAAAATCTTTAAAAAAAAAATGGTTTCTTTTGTCCTCCTCCTGGCAGAAGCACAAGGTAATTTGTCTATAATATTTATTGTCAGAATTTCGTCAAGCTTCCAGCGATAAGTCTCATGATATTGTGGTGCCCCTCAACAAAATACCAGCAGACCCAGTTGAACAGCATATTAAAAGATCATATGCCACAATCAGTTGAGATTTATTCTTGGGATGCAAGGATGGTTCAATGTACCAAATCAGTAAGTGTCATGTAGTACACTACAGAATTAAGAAAAAAAATCAAATGATCATCTCAATAAACGCATTTGACAAAAATTTGACAATAAATGTTTTTGTGGGTTTTTTTGACAATACATGTTACCCTTGACAAAATGCAACATCATTTCATGATAAAGACTCTCAACAAATTATATGCAGAAGGAATTTACCTCAACATAATAAAGACCATATATGACAAGCCCACAGTTTATATCATACCTAAGAATGAAAGGCTGCCCCCAAGCATTAATTGGACAGAACTGCTAGAATGGTGTAGCTATCAGAGGACAAATAGCCCAAATCCCATACTGAAATATTTTGAATGGCAAGATCAACATGGAAGTGGAAATAATCTGCATTTATCCAGTTTTCAAAGAGATACCTGGAAAAAGCACAATTATATCAGAGAGGCTGTGTTCCAACTGCCAATGAATATCTCAAAGCAACTTTCTAGGGGAAAATTCTGAGATCAGGATGTTGTATTCAATGTTATAATATCAATATGCCTTTGACTATGGGGACCTCAGTTTGAGGGCATACAGGGAAGAACAATATTTCTTTCTCTTTACGCTCATGTTCCAGATGACAGAGACATTTACTTAAATCCTAGTAATAAAAGTGTATTCTGTGGGAACATGTGGTGATTGGTGGGCTGAGTGGCACTGGGTTCATTTGAATTGATGTTGAGGAAAGAATGTCCAGGAAGCAGTGTGGGATGACATTTACTCTGTAATGGTACTCTCCAATGTATTCATTGCTTCCAAGTTTCCACCTGTGTTTAAAGCTTCTTTTCTGATAATATCTGCAGTAGTCAGTCTAGAGAACAGATGTGCATTTGTGCACAATGCCCAGGACATAACAGCAGATCCACAGATATTGGTGTCTTTAGCATAGAAGCCTTATCATGAGTTATCAGATTTTCCATAGAAAACACCCAGAAATGCATCCCTAGACTGACTCCAGGATTGAGGAAGCAATGATAGCATTTCATTGTTTGTCAACAATTATGTTGTGGACCATTGTTTCAAAGATAGGTATTGGGTTCCCAAGAGCTTCCTTGTTAAGAGTTGACTCTAAATGCAGAGAGGGGAAAATGGAATGAATATGTGCCCTGTCAGGTGTATTGTTCATTACTGCCTCCCTGTTTCTAGAGATCTTATCAGAGAAGACTTTGAAACACACTTCCTATTTTGTAATCCTATCACCAGGAGGAGATAACACAGGTGGAGGGAAGACATGCAGACATTTACAAAACCAAAGGGTATAGATGGGGAGGGAGAGGAAGAAGCATCAGGACACCTATTAATTGGTTAAACTGTGAGGGAGGATACAGTGGGTTAGATCAAAGTATCGATCAAAGATATTTTCTATCTGAGAGCAAAACTCAAGTATATATTATGTGACTAGAGGCTGGTGTTATGAGCAGATGGGATTAAGTTTTGAGGCCTCAGTATCTTCTACAGGGAGGATGAGGTCTTCACCTGGTGTGGGTAATTCTCTCAACAATTTGTCAGGTGAGTTTAACTTTATAGGGAGGCTACTTGGCTTAATGGCTTTGCTGAGGCCACACAACTTCCGGTAACTAGCGCAAAGAAGTAGCCCCCTCTTAATACATTATTTTTCTCACATTAGTGAAAGTCAGTGCATATTTTTGGAGCTATCATGCATATGAGTAGCATACACTTAGCCTGAAAAAGTCTTTGCCCTCATAGATGAAGACTTTGAAGAATGCTTTTAGGTCAGATGATTTCTTTTTTAAATGTACTCAAACATTCAATAATCACGTAGTCACTCTTGAGCGTATTTGTACATTAAAGTGGTTGGTGTCACAACATCTCTGCCACAAATGCTTTTCCATGAGCTCAGAAAGGAAAAAAAAAGCTGGAAATTCATGATACTATTATTTTTTTTAACGCAGCGGTGTTTTAGGGAGTTGGCTCATAGTAGCTCTTGAGAACATATTCAGGAATTTTGCAATTCCGTTGTTAAACCATTTGCAGTTTAAAATCATGGAAATCAGCAAACACTACCAATGAGTACTTTTTACTTCAAAGAGCTGGTTTACCAGTACACCACTAGATCTAAGTGTCTGGCAATCAAAAATCATAGTCTATAAATAAAGATGAACAAATCCTGGTCTTTGAATTGTGACTTACGTGCTGTCATGCTGGAAACAAGGAGGCTTAGGAGGTAAGTGATCTGCTGACTGTGGTCTGTAGTCATTCACCGTAAAGTAGGCATCTTCAAAACGCTTTTCATTTGCCTTTTGCAAATTCTCACATAATAATTCTTTGTAGAATCAAGTATCAGTGACATGTTAGGCATTTAAATGAATTAACAAGCTTTGTTCTATCTGATGTACATATGTTCTATCTCATGCTTTCTGCTTTTGTTTGAAAAGGAAGGGTAATGCCAGTCAACTTAGTCATCTCCTCATTGAGGATATTTTTTTTTCTTTTTAAAATATTTTATTTATTTATTTGATAGAGATCACAAGTAGGCAGAGAGGCAGGCAGAGAGAGGGGGCAGGGAGTAGGCGCCCTGCTGAGCAGAGAGGCCGATGCGGGGCTCCATCCCAGGACCCCAAGATCATGACCTGAGCTGAAGGCAGAGGCTTTAACTCACTGAGCCACCCAGGCACCCCCGTTGAGGATATTTTTATTTCTTCCTTTTCCAAGGTTTGCATCCCACCTGCATGTGGGGGAGAGGCGGCCAACTTCTTCAGGTAGGTCGCTTCCACCTCGGCTCCCACATGGAATGAAAAGACTTCCCGTCTCTCCCTGAGGCTCACCGCCCGTGTTGTTCTCCTCTTTCCCGTATGCGTCCTCTCCGTTTTTCATCATTTGTTTGCCTTCTGGTTTTCTTTTTTCTCTCATTCTTTTTCTTCCTTGCTTTCTCTTCTTTCCTCATTGCATATCTTGTCTTCATCTCTTTCATGTTTCCTTTTCTCACCCACATTTCTCCAACATCTTCTGGGCTTTTTTAAATTTTGATTTTTCCGATTTTATCCCACAGTCGCTCCTCCTTATGAGGTGTCACGGCACAATGTTAGGAGAGCTGAATCTGGAGTCCGGGCTTCCTGGGCTGAATCTCAGCTCTGTCCCTTACTAGATGGATGACCTTGGGCATTATGTTTGGACCACCTGCGTTTCCACGTCCTCACCTGTAAAGTGGGAACAAAAACGGCAACTTTCTCTTGAAGATTCAACGAATTATCACAGGTAAGTTGTTTAGGAGTCTGCATGGCCCATAAAGGGGCCTACGAATTTAATATTCTACTATTAATATTCTCGCTGCTTTCCATCCTTTATCTGTAGCTCACTTTCACTGCTCTTCGGCACCTGTCGTTTTCATGAGTGGCTCTCTTTTCCTTTGTCGACAGCCTGTGTGGTCTTATTATCACAGCTTTGTTTCTACTTGTATTTTCTTTCTTTCTTTCTTTCTTTCTTTCTTTCTTTCTTTCTTTCTTTCTTTCTTTCTTTTTTCCTTCCTTCCTTCCTTCCTTCCTTCCTTCCTTCCTTCTTTCTTTCTTTCCTTCCTTCCTTTCTTTTCTTTCTTTCTTCCTTAGTAGGCTCCACACCCAGCATGGAGCCCAATGCAGGGCTTGAACTCAAAATCTTGAGATCGAGACCAGAGCTGAGATCAAGAGTGGGACCCTTAGCCAATCCAAACACTCAGGTGCCCCTTCTTCCACTCGTTTTGCTGCTTTAGCTCATTTCTGTATTTTCCTGTGCTCAGAAAACTTTCCAGTTATAATTTCCTTTCAAGTCTCTCAATTCTTTACCTCTCTTTTCTTTTTTTTTTTTTTTAAGATTTTATTTATTTATTTGACGGGCAGAGATCACAAGTAGGCGGAGAGGCAGGCAGAGAGAGAGGAGGAAGCAGGCTCCCTGCTGAGCAGAGAGGCAGATGCGGGGCTCGATCCCAGGACCCTGAGATCGTGACCTGAGCTGAAGGCAGAGGCTCAACCTACTGAGCCACCCAGGTGCCCCTACCTCACTTTTCTTTAAGGCCTTTGCATTTATCTAATTCATCGTTGGGATGAGGTCTTGTCTAGTTTTTCCATTTATTCTGTTTCCTTTACCACCTCTTCTTTTATTGTTGCTTGTCTGTCTCTTCTTCATCTAGTCATTTGGCTTGGTGACCCTTACAGCTCACAGTTTTTCACATTTCTTTCTTTCTTTTACATTTCCTTTCTACTCTCTACTTTGACGTCTTCTCGCTTTATGATCTTATAATGTGATATATCATCTTATTTTGTTTTGTTGATTTTTCATACCTTTATAGTGCTTTTTACATTTTCTTGATTTTCTTCTTCCTCTCCTCCTCTCATTTATTTACCTTGCAATCTGTTTATGTATGACTTACTTCTAGCCTCTTTATTTCCCTCAAATATATGTTTTCTTCTTATTTATCATTTACTATATTTTTTTCCTAAACTTCTCTCTCTCTCTTAAAAGATTTTACTTATTTATTTGAGAGAGAGAAAGAGCTCACCAGCAAGGACAGTGGCAGGCAGAGGGAGAGGGAGAAGCAGGCTCCCTGCTGAGCAGAGAGCCTGATGCAGGGCTCGATCCCAGGACCCCAGGATCATGACCTGAGCCGAAGGCAGAGGCTTAACCCACTGAACCACCCAGGTGTCCCTCTTTTTTTATTTTTCTTTTCCTTTAAGATTTTATTTTTAAGTAAGCTCTACACCCAGCATGGGGCTCAAACTCACAACCCCAAGATCAAGAGTCATATGCTCTACCAGCTGGGCCAGCCAGGCGCCCCTTATATGCCTCCTTTCAAGCACACTGCCTTCATCAGCCCAGGACTCTAGGAATGTGTGTGTACGTCTACACATTAAT